AATTAATTAATTGATTAATTTCTGAACGGTACGTAGCGTATATTTTTAAGAAACATATTTAAGGTAATATTGCCTATTTATTTATTTACTTTCATTAATTCATTCCATTTAATTCCAAAACTGCTAATCCATAAATGCATTTTCATAAAAGCAAAGTCTTAACCTGTTGAAAAATGCAAAAGGTTTCATTGTCACTCTGAATGAATGTAGATGCTACCATCTAGTGACAAATATTCATGTCACCTGGACTCGTCTCCATCTATCATTGGATATAGTGAAATCCTTGCTTTATTTCTTTGAGTTAAAAAATGTAATTCAGCAAATATTTTTAATATTAAGTAAATCTGTATAAAAACAAATGCATTTGTATATAACACATCATATTGGCAGTCGAAATCATTCGTATCATTCCAGCAGGTGAGTATCCTTCACACACACACACACACACACACACACACACACACGTGAAAAAGTTGGACACGTTATAACAGCCTTTTATTAAATGTTATCGAAATACCAGCAACACCAATTAGAGACATAAATCCTACAGAATTACATCTTGCGCTGTACTTCTAAAACAAAAAAACATTCAAGTGTTTTTTTTTTTTTTAAGTGTCTGTTTTAAAAGAGCCGAGCATCATGAGTTAATCAGTTTTACAGAAGTGATGGCATTTCTCACAAATAAATGCTTTCAGGAAATCACTGGGGTAGAGGTGAGGTCGCAAAAACAATACAGACATGAGAGGAAAAACAGGCAGACTGTCTTCAACTAATTGGAATATATAATTTATAAATGGTTAAAACAAATTATACATGTTATAAATGGTCTCCAAGCAGGACAAAAAAAACAACAACAACAACACTTGTCTAAACAAAATAGGCCAAATTATTGTGTCCTCCTAAAACTGCAGATGTATGAATCTCTACACTCTAAAAAATAAAGGTGCTTAAAAGGTTCTTCAAACGATGCCATAGAAGAACCATTCCGTCAAAGGTTCTTCAAAGAACCATCTCTTTCTTACCTTTTTATAATCTGAAGAACCTGCTCTCGCCACAAAGAAGCTTTTGTGAAACAGAAAGGTTCTTCAGATGTTAAAGGCTCTTTATGGAACCATTTAGACAAAAAGGTTCTTCTATGGCATCGTGGGGCACCTTTATTTTTAAGAGTGTATCTTGGACAAGCTTCTGACGTTTGAATAACTGGAGGAACTGCGGGCCAAATACTACTGAATGATCTATTTTAAGGCAATACAACTGATTAAACAGATATTTATTCATAATATTTCCCTGGGAAATCTTGAATGAGCAAATGTTGTGTTCTGTTTTAGTATTTCTCACGGGTTGAACGGAACAGAGGCTGTAAATGAAGATATGTCTAATATATGTGATCAGTTTATTATTAGAATAAAAAAAAAATACTTATGGCATCAAGATAATGATCAATCCTTGAGGTAACAGGTTTAATGGCAATATGTAAGAAAATATGAGAGAAAATGAACATGTACCAACAAATGGACTGCGAGAACTTTTTATAATACAAATGTGTGCCACCATGGAAGATATTATGACTGAGATTCATTCCTTTTCAGCTTAAAGAGAGAGAGAATCCCTTTAAATTTACTGAAAACTGACTTTTCTTGACTGCACCCGAGTTGAATATATCCGACTCAAATCCTGTTTGATTAACCTTAGTTTAAAGCAGCACTATGTAACTTTTGGCGCTCTAGCGGTTAATAAACAGAACTGCACACATCCCGCGGAAGAACATTCCAACCGGAGCTACTTCTCTAAGTTTATGTCTATGGCGATTCACGCAGGTATGTGTTACTCCGCAGCGGCGACGACCCGACCAGGCTACAATAGTCCAAATGTAAGTACTTATTATAAGTGTACCGTAGTGATTCGGAATAAGACAAAAACGCGGTTTGGAAGATGAATTCATGATGTACTCGCTCATTATATACATTTAGCAAATTTTGAACACAGAAAAAGTTACATAGTGCTGCTTTAAGCACAAAACACAAGAACAATCAATAGTTATTAGAATTTAGCTACAGTTATAAATTTCACCATAAAAAACTTAAGCAACCTTAATGTTTCATCATAAAAAAACAGCACCAGACTGAATTAAATCAAGTTTTCCAACACAACTTCCTTATAATAACGTGGTCAAAACTAGTCTTTCTCTAGTAAAGAATGGGAAGACAGATTGACTTTGAAACGCTTCTGAACACTGTATTCATGTTGTCAGATTTATCTGATGTTACTAAATGTTGTGATAGTGCTTTTGTAACTGACCAAGCCAACAAAACATTTGTGGTAATGACAGCCGCCTGACCAAGATGCCGGAATGAATCTTTGAATCCCGACAGCTTTCTGTTCCTTCATTTTCCATCCCTTTTGTACATAAACCTCTTTTGTTGTGTAATGTTTCGTCCCTTTTGCATTCCTCTGGTCTGCATCTCTCACGGTAACTCTCAGGAATTCACTCCTTTTGCCATTTTTAGACTTGTTTTCCATGTTTTGGTTGCTGTTAATGGTGTAGTGAGGAAAGTAGTTTCAAACTGTGTCATCTGTTAAAAAACAAAGAGAGAAAACAAAAAAAAGGGAGACACAAAATGAATAACCGGGGAACAGTTAGTCAGGTTAAGTTGTTATAGTTACACAGCATTAAGAGCGGACACGTGAAGCGGCATAGCTTTCGCTGAGATACCAGTGTTGCCACAGAATATCTGTTTGGCTCAAATGCCAAATGTCAGTCGTAAACATCCGGCAGACGGCCTTCAGCGACCTGTTCAAAGAGAGTTACAACACGTGTCACCTCCAGTTCAAATCAAACCCCTGTCTCCGCCGTCAAACAACTGGCATACATGTTGCAGGATATTAGTGCAGTATCCTGTATTTATTCATATTATTATTCCTAATACTGTATATACAATCCTTGAATATTTTCAGACTTAACCTAACTATCTTCATACTTTCGTTTTTATTCTATAATATGTGTCTGGTTGTTGTATTTATATATGTGCACTGGAAAGCTCCATAGCCACGGAAAATGGCTCATGTGTGCAAGCACACTTGGCAAAAAAAGCTCAAAGGGATAGTTTAACCCAACAAATGAAAATTTTGTCTTGTTTTACTCATAATCATATGGTTCCAAACCCATAAGACTGTTGTTCATCTTTGAAACAAAGATCATCATTTCTGTAACAAAACCTGAGAGATTTCAACCAAAGAGATTTCAAATGCATAAGCATTTGTCGATCTTTATTTGTGAGTAAAAGCCTAAATGAAATCTGTTCGTTAGTTAAAGTGATCATGTCTCAGGGTTTTGGTGTAATGGACTTTCAGTGGAGGGATAGAAATCTCTCAGGTTTAACCCTCTGGGCCTCTTCGGTCATTTTTGATCGAAAAAATGTATATTCCGAAATTTTAAAAATTGTGGCTGCATTGGAATGAGGTAACACTTGGTGACTTTTGTCACATTAGCTATGTGAACACCACACACACACACACACACACACACACAGAAATGAACTGGTAAGACTGCAACAGAGCAAATTTTTTAGATTATGTGAAATAAAATGAATAAATTAAAAAAAAAGATTCTCTCTCTCTCTCTCTCACACACACACACACACACACACACACAGAAATGAACTGGTAAGACTGCAACAGAGCAAATTTTTTAGATTATGTGAAATAAAATGAATAAATTTAAAAAAAAGATTCTCTCTCTCTCTCTCACACACACACACACACACACACACACAGAAATGAACTTGTAAGACTGCAACAGAGCAAATTTTTTAGATTATGTGAAATAAAATGAATAAATGAAAAAAACAAAACAAAAGAGTCTCTCTCTCTCTCTCACACACACACACACACACAGAAATGAACTGGTAAGACTGCAACAGAGCAAATTTTGAGAATATTCAATGATTGATTGAAATCATAATGCAAAACCTGATATTTATCTAACCAAAAATATCTAAACCTTGACAAAACGTAGTCTTTTAGAATGTCTAAATATATATCTAAAAGTAAAACCTAATAAAATGGATTCTCATTGTTTTTAGACAATTTCTTCAAAGGCCTCTGTGTATAGGGAACTATACAGGAGTTTACATGACATTACACAAGTTTTTATTTTTTTATGCCACCAGATGGCACAATTCTCACTTCAATAAATGAATTTTAAATGTTTTCACTCTGTTTTAACATGAAATATTGCATTTATTGAAAAATAATAAATAAATAAAAATATATGAATTCTAATGGAAACAAATAGCTCATTAAAATTTTATAAATATTGCGTAGTGTCATAAAAAAATACCCTCAAAATTCTAAATAATAATCCAAAAATATTATTAAACAAAAATGTATTACACTGATTTTCCTGAAAAAAAAAAAAGTTACATTTCAAGGCTTCGGTCACTTTTGACCGCGAAGGAGCCAAGTGTGACCCCTAAACGAAGAGGCCCAGAGGGTCAAAGATATATCTTCATTTCAATGAACTCAATTCATTTTTAATAAAAAGGCATTATAGAGGAGATACGATACCACCTCTGAATGTGGCATTGCAAAAAAAAACTAAAACAAATCCAGTGCGTTAAAAGAACAAACAGACAGCATCTGTTGATGTATTGACAGTTACCACATCCCTGAGTTTGTAAAAACAAACAAAAATCTAACGTAAGTGCTTTACTGTACACATAGTTTTTGTTTGTGCAAATTGAAGTACTAAAGTATTAACTTGTACTGAACCCAGAATGTTACTGTAAGATATGACTCGTTTTCATTTTTAAATATCTCAAAAATGTAATAACAGAAATGTAAACATATGAGATTTTTTGAATATGCTGGTGAGCAGCAGCAATTTTCCTACTCAAAGGAAAAAACATCTTAGAATTCAATGCAATTTAACAAAATAATAAAAAGCAATAAATCTATGAAGTAATCTATTAATTAGATGTGCATCTACCTATAAATAAAAATCTGACTTGTACACTAATTCTTTATAGGGCCACTGTATGTACAGTGTGTACTGAAGGAACATGATATTTCATGAAACAAATGACTGAGATCTAAAAAATATTTTGAACACCAATTAACCATCCTAAAATAGAGGTGATACTTAGATGAATTAGGATACATAAATATACGAAATGTCACTGCATTAGATAAAATATCAAACCAAGGAGCTTTTATTTTATAGAAAGATTTCACAACAAGAAATTGTTGATGAGGTATTGAAATACTGAACATGAGAAAAGTATTCTGACACTTTGTGGATTTCAGACTTCAGTGGACCAGTCTGGACCAGTAATGTCTAACACCTGTGGCTACTCTTAAAGCAATAGTTCACCCAAAACTGAACATTTGCTGAAAATATGCTCATCTTAAGTTCATTCAAGATGCAGACGAGTTTGTTTCTACATGGGAACAGATTTGGAGAAATGTAGCATTACATCACTTTCTCACCACTAGATGCTCTGCAGTGAATGGGTGCCATCAGAATGAGAGTCCAAACAGCTGCTAAAAACATCACCAATGGATGCTCTGCAGTGAATGGGTGCCGTCAGAATGAGAGTCCAAACAGCTGCTAAAAACATCACCAATGGATGCTCTGCAGTGAATGGGTGCCGTCAGAATGAGAGTCCAAACAGCTGATAAAAACATCACAATAATCCACTCCACTCCAGTCCAGCAATTAATGTCTTGTGAAGCCAAAAGTTGAATTTTTTTTAAAGAAACAAATCCATCAAGACGTTTTTAACTTCAAACCACTGCTTCTGGCTACAATCCTCTATCTACAATATTGCTTTTTTGATCTGAATCAGGAGAGAAATATGCACAGATCAAGCACTGTTTACAAGTGAAAACAGTCCAAAACGGTTCTAAAGAAACCTGTCCGTTGAGTTTGATATGAAAGGACAACAAGGTATGGACATTTTTTTTTAATGGAGGAAGCGTTATTATGGACTCATATTTTGGCCACAAGCAATGGTTTAAAGTTCAAATGCTTTAATGATGTATTTGTTTCTTACAAACAAACAATCAGCTTTTGGCTTCCCAAGACGTTAATTGATGGACTGGAGTGGTGTGGATTACTTGTGGATTATTGAGATGTTTTTATCAGCTGTTTGGACTCTCATTCTGACGGCACCCATTCACTGCAGAGCATCCATTGGTGATGTTTTTAGCAGCTGTTTGGACTCTCATTCTGACGGCACCCATTCACTGCAGAGCATCCATTGGTGATTAAAAAAAAGAATCTTGAATGGCCTGAGGGTGAGTACATTTTCAGCAAATGTTCATTTTTGGATTAACTATTCCTTTGAGGAGAACTGGCACAGTAACTCCACTAAAAATCTGCGGACACTTGATTTGATATTTGATGTCTAATGCAATGACATTTAAATGAGGTTTAAGTGTCCAAATACCTTTTAAGGCCAGTGAGCTTTCTAACACGTTTTAATAAATGAATGAGTGCTCATGCACCTGTGGGAGCAGCTGTATTCTGTCTGCTGCTCTTGATGTCCAAGAAAATCGTGTAGGAATCATAAGCAAACAAGATCCCAGCCAGCAGACCAAACACCTGGGAGAGAAGATGAGCATTATTATAAACAGATGCTAGTTGAGTGAGAATCCGAGGAGGATATAAAGCACTATCAAATCCGATTTGATCTTGAAGGAATAAGCATGGCATGTGTTGATGCTGAAGTTGGATGTCTCACCCCACCAGCGATGCGAGCCCCGTCTCCAGCCCCGCCGATCACACAGATCAGAGAGGTTATGAGGTAAAGCGCTGCACCGATTACAGCGCGGATGAGATCCTGAAGAGACACAGAGAAACTGTAAGCAGCGTTCGCAATGCTAGGCTGGACCACGATGCAAGTGTGTGAGTGAATTCATACTCACGCTCCAGAGCCAGTTCACCACCAGGAACTGTTTGTCCAGCTCCATCATGAAGACAATGAAGAAGATGATGGCAAAGACCATCTCGCAGATGGCCACTGCTGAATACCCGCCATACATAGATGCGGCGTAACAGATAAGGATGATGAAACTGAGGATCTACAGAAAACCGACAGACGTGCAGTTTAATAAATTAAACTTGATCGCATCAGTGCACAAAAGCATGTAAGGATGTGGTTTTGATCGGGGGTCAAGGTTTAGCTGGTTAGCCCTTGCAGATAGAGACAATTCTGCAGATAGCCTGTTTCTTTATTGCAGTATTATTATTGTTAAAGTCGCAATAAAAAGGAAGTAGTGACCGATACTGGTAACACTTTCTCACTATTAACTAGTTGCTTATTAGCATGCATATTACAAGCATATTGGCTGTTTATTAGTACTTATAAAGCACACATTAATGCCTTATTCTGCATGACCATATTTTAGATCCCTTAACTCTACCCAATACCTAAACTTAGCAACTACCTCACTAACTATTAATATGCAGCAAATTAGGATTTTTTTAAAGGAAAGTCATAGTGAATAGTTAGTTAGTGACCCAGATCTTTTTCTGTATTTGTATCTTCTGTCGATTGTGGAGGGATGAGTTTAAGATGATTTATTGGAGAAGTTTGGCATGCGTCACCAGAGAGAAGTTTGCCATTTTCAGCGCAAGATCATTTTAAACATTACAAGGAAAAAAAAAAACAAGTTGAAACATACATGGATGCACTGTTCATAATAACATCTATAACATGCATATACAAAACAGATACATATTTCTGCAATTTCATGCTAACAAAAACTAAATGGCGAAATTTTCCATTAACTGAAAGAAACAACTGTGAAAAACTGAAACTAAAGTACATCTTACAAATGTATTTTAAACTGAAACTAAATTAAAATGACAAGATACCAAAATGTATTAAAGTGCCCCTATTATGGATTTTTGAAAATGACCTTTCATGCAGTGTGTAACACAGCTCTAAGTGATTGAAAACATCCTGCAAAGTTTAAAATCTGAAAGTGCACCGTGTATAAAGTTATTGTCTCTCAAAAGTAAGAGTCGACTTTAAGAGTCGTTTTTAAAACGAATCCCAAGCCGGTTCATGTTGACGTCAACATGAAACATTAGCATATTGCCCGCCCACGTTTTGGTCTTTTCGCGTTGGTCTGAATGAAAATACAAATTCATTATTTGCCACTATGTGCTGCTTTTGGAGCGGTAAAAATAGCGGTTTCCCCGGTAACAATGTACACAAAGCAGCACTGCGCTCACAAACGCTGCTTTATCAGGCATTACAGGCGAGATGAAATGGAAATGAGACCAATCGGACCAATCACCGCAGATTAGCATCACGCAAAGGAGGGGTTTGGAAAAATGAATCGTTGAACGAATCATTTGGGAGTCGTTGAGACAATGAAAGTGTTTTTTGACCTTGCATGCATATATATATCATTTAATTTTTGATACATGGTAATTTGATACATCCTAAAACTTGACATTAAACATGAAAAAATCCCACTAGACAGCAATAACACTAGACTGTCCTGTGTTTAACACTGTTAAACTTTTTTAATTAAACCAATTAACTTTGGCAGCCCTACAATACTAAAACTAAAAATACAATTGACTGAAACTAGAAAACTCTGAAATAACTAAACTAAAACTAACAATGATAGAATGAAAACTAACAACTAATATAAATTTAAATTTAAATAAAAACTAACTTTACAATTCGAATCTATAATGGCCCTGCTTCACTGACAGTCATTCAAAAGTAATTTTATATTTTATAAAATATACTGTTTTGGTTTTCTGTCCATATGCTTCAAGTAGTATTAATCTGCTCAAATTAAACAATCCGGTACTTTTTCAGTTGTATCTTGTATGAGACTGTATAAACTGTCAGCGTATATGACTGTTTTATTATTTTCCTAAATGTCTTTGGCTTTTTAGTGTGGAAATTCTCCCTCTCCAGTACGTCACCCATGTTTGCTGCCAAATCACCAAAGCGTTCTCCTGTTCACTACCCACAATTCATCTGAACGTGCCATCTGCTCTAGGTGTCAGTTAACAGTGCAGCTCCGGATCTCTCACATATTATGAAGCTTTTTAAAAGTTTGATTACTAAAACATCTGTTGAGGACTAAAGAGTGGAACACCGCGTGGATGTAAACACAGCACAATACACGGCTGTAGAAGAGGTTGAAGCTCCTTATATGGTTATAAACAGAGAACTATTATAAGAATACTTTTGGGAGTATACGACTATTATGAACGTCTAATCAAATCAGCCCATAAACTCAAACACTGCGCTGCTGGGATCTAAATAAACACTGCTGGCAACAACTAGGAAAAGTTAGTGGACGTTATTTAGACTTCAGAAACTTGGACTGTAGTATATCATCTATGACTCATTCAGTGTTGGGTAAGTTACTCTAAAAAAGTAATTAATTACTAGTTACTAATTACATCTTCAACAGTGTAATTAGATTACTGTACAAATTACTCTCTCCAAAAAGTATTTAATTACTTATTACTATAATTACTTTCTAAATCATATCAACCTCGACAAGTTAATGAAACAAGGATAGACATAAAATGGTTCTTTTAGTTCTTAAAAATATATATTAGATAACTACATAAATGATTCTGATCTCACTTTAGAGTATAATTCTCACTATTAACTAACTATTAACTATGACTTTTTCCTTAATATACTCCTAATTACTGCTTATTAATACTTAGTAAAGTAGTCGTTAAGTTTACGTATTGGGTAGGATTGAGGATTTAGAATAAGGTCTTGCAGAATAAGACATTAATATGTTTTTTTTAAAGTAATAATAAACAGCCGATATCCCAGTAATATTCATGCTAATTACCAACTAGTTAATAGTGAGAATTGGACACTAAAGTGTTACTAATATTGTTATTAACTCACCAACGTATTTAAAGCGAGAAGGTTACATAAAAAGCATGCATTTTAAGGTTAGACTTTAAATTTTTTATGTTAAATCCACTATTGTATTGTATATAAATGTTCTACAGTCTATACACAGTATTACGTTCAATTACATAATAAAAAAAACTGTAATTCCATTACAGAAAAAATAAGAGTAATCCCTTACTTTACTTTCTCAAGGGAAAAGTAATTATATTACAGTAACTAATTACTTAATAACTAATTACACCCAACACTGGACTCGTGGTTTGTTTTTAAAGAATGATATGCACATTGAAATAAGATTACAGAGTTTTCAACATGCTTAAGTTTTTAAATCTACTGACAAGCCTAATGAAACATTAAATGAATTTAAACAGAAAAACGTAACCAGATTTCAGATTTCACTGCTTGCCTTGGCAAACACTTCTATTTCTTTTAAGTTCGCTGGAAGGACAGTGTTCTTGCATGGTTCCTCTTGAAGTGTTATTTTTGTTGATGTGGTTTGCAGAGGTGTTAATGGTTTGTCCACATGCCACTGTGAAACACCTGTGCCTTGTGTTTGCGATGATCTGCTGCCGCAGTAACAGCTGATAAAACACTGCGAGTGTGAAGATCGAGACAGGAAGATTCTCAATGTGTTAGTAGGTAAGTTTCCTGTTTTATGTCACTTGGGGAAATGACAAAGTTATGCTACCAGGCAATATCTACAGTACCATAAACATTCAATGAAACATTAGTTTCTAAATGTATGTTACTGATCTTACTGTGAATGATTCACGGTTTGTGACCACATCATTTTTTTTAATTGAAATGTCCTAACTCGACCTTCCCGTAAAATGACAGACTTTTCTCTGGTGACGCGTGCAGGGCTTCAATGCTTTATCACAATCCACTGCATGCTGACATTCAGCCGATCCGCCTCCATCAAATCAACAACCGTTGCATAGTCCCCATCGTATATTATTTTTTCACTAAACCATTTCACTTGGATTTACACCACAATACAGAAGAAAAGATCTGTCACGGCTTTGTTTGATAGTGACTTTAGTCAAGATTGAATCAAAATTCACTGTTTACATTCTCAACACACATTCCTGCTGTTATTGTGAATGATTCATTGGTGCATCTTATTCTAAGGGGGAAAAAATGCTTGTCTTCTCATTCTTTCATCAAAATGCAATAATTCTGAAACCATTTTCCTTTTTCTCCAAGGTTATTTTTTAATCCTTCTCTTCCAACCTATTTATCAGCTTCCCATATCAACAAATGCTGATTATATATATATATATATATATATATATATATATAAACAATGGATGAAATGACAGTGTTGTCACACAACAGGCAACCACAATTCCAGGTTCTTAAGCACTGCAGCTTGAATGATCTGTTAAGCATTCTATATGTAAAAAAAAATAAATTCTGGTTTACATTTATGCATTTGGCAGATGCTTTTATCCAAAGCAACCTACATTGCATTCAAGGTAAATTCAAGGTTTATCAATTTTTGACCCTGGCTAGTGTCATGTTTTACTGTTGGAGCTACAATAAGATGTTTATAGAAAAGAAATACACTCACTACCATTCAAAAATCTGGGATCGCTATGTTTTTTTTTTATGAATTGACATTTTTATTCAGCAACGATGCATTTAAGTGATCAAAAATGACAGTAAAGACATTTAAAATGTTAAATATTTTTACTTAAAATAAATGCTGTTCTCCAAACTTTCGGTTTCATCAAAGAATCCTGAAAAAGCTTTGATCAATTAAATGCTGCCTTGTTGAGCATAAGAATCTTACCAACTATTGAATAGTAGCGTGTTTATTTATTTATTTATTTATTTGTATTATTATTATTATTGTAGGTTTTTATTTGCATTATCCACTCACAAAACCTCACTGCAGTGATGCTGAATCTTGTCCTGTTACATACTGATGGTTATTTGGGCTTACTATTTGTATTACGTTACATTGCACTGTGTCACTTCTGAGGGTTTGCGCCATGTGCTACTGAAACACAAATCCACTGACTGGAAACAAATACTACAGCAATCTTGTGGAAATTAGGTGTTTTAACCACACAAACAGCACGAGCTCATTTTCACCTCAATTTGACCAAAAAAGCAACAGAAGACAATTCTTTTCTGAGACGCAAAATAAACCTGGAAGTG